CGGGATCTCACAAAAGTATTGCGAGATCTCGCAATACTTTTGTGAGATCCCGCAACACTTTGGTGAGATCCCGCAATACTTTTGCAGGATCTCGCAATACTTTTGCGAGATCCCGCAATAGTTTTGTGAGATCCCGCAATACTTTGGCGAGATCCCGCAATACTTTGGCGGGATCTCGCCAAAGTATTGCGGGATCTCGCAAAAGTTTACGTTTTGCGAGATCTCACAAAAGTTTTGCGAGATCTCGCAAAAGTTTATTTTTTCCCTCCATGTCCCTTTAGGGGCTCCGTAGAAATGTACTGATTGTAGAATTAGTACTTTTAAATCCATGTACTTTCAAATACTTAACAGTTTTCAGAAGTGATTACTTTAACTTGAGTAGAAGTTTCACTGAGTATCTTTTTCTTCTATTTGAGTAAGATTTGACTATGAGTATCTAAACCTCACCCCAAGTACTATAGTTGAGTACTTCATCCAACTAGGTATATTGATGTAAATCTATATATGAAATTGGAAATGAATAGGAATCTAAATTTTCCGACCAAAGAAGGAAAGGTTTTATTGTGTACTTTCCAACTCCAATAAGTTTCCTACTTCTTTTAAATTCAGCTAAAATTCCAATTCTTTTACAAGCAAAAGTATGTAAAGGATTCTGATTTTCTTCTTTTTTATCAGATTTCTGTGAACTTGAAGTGGACATGAATTCAGTCAACAGAAAACTCAGACTTTCTGACAACGACTCCAGGTTTAGCGTGGGGCAAGAGGAGCAGCCGTACCCGGATCATCCTCACAGATTCCAGCAGTGCTGGCAGCTGATGTGTAGAAACGCAGTGACTGGTCGCTGTTACTGGGAGGTGGAGTGGAAGGGAGGAGTTCTCATCTCGCTGAGCTACAAAGGAATCGGGCGAAGAGGAAACAGAGAGGACTGCAGATTTGGGAGGAACGATCAGTCTTGGGCTCTGGAGTGCTCTGATGTCTTTGGTTTGTCTGCCTGGCATGTTAACAGAGAAACCAACATCCCTCCTCTTTCTAACAGCCAGAGAATCGGAGTGTTTTTAGACTTCCTCGCAGGAACTCTCTCCTTCTACTGCACCTCCTCCGAGACGCTGGTTCACCTCCACACCTTCAGCACCACCTTCACTGAACCCGTTTATCCGGGCTTTGGTTTGTGGACTGGAGCATCAGTGTCATTGTGTTCAGCAGATTCAAGCAAACCCACAGCTTAACGCTGCCACACTGTAAATATAACAGCAATACAATCAATAACATAAAAAAAGTTGATTTAACATCTAAAATATACACTTATTAAATAAATGAAACTTCTTTTCTGTGTGAAAAGTTAAACTTCTCTGAGTAAAACATGTTTGAGCTGAATCATGTGTCCCTTCCTATGTTCATCCATCCTACTGTCAAACGCTGCTGTGACCTCTGCTCCATTGCTGGTTAAACTCCAACAATTAAGCCACAATTTTAGCATCAACCTGAATGAAATCAGCATAGCAGCATAAGTCTGACAAGATAGTCAGATAACCGTAAAATGTTGAATTATTATTTAATCATTTTTCCATATATATTGCCATGAACCTTGATGCAATAGCTTATTATTTCCACTAGATGGTGCAAAAGATTAAAGTATCTTAACTGTGGCTTAGAGTCAAAACATTAAATCTGAACATATGTGAAAACTTCTAGATTCCATTTCTACTTAAATTTACATTTAATACATAAATGTACTTAAAATTAATTCTTAAAGCTGTACAGATGTTGTTAGTAAATTGAAATTTCCCAAATCTGTCTGTAAAATAGGCCTGAATTCACTCTGAACGCCTTTTGGACGCATTCCTGTATCAGTGGAGGATATCAGCCTGTGGTTCTGCTGAGGTCTTCATGACGTCCAGGTTCCTTTGATAGCAACCTGCAGCTTCTCTGTGTTTCAGCTCTTTTTGCTGCTGCGGCTACAAATAGCAAATAATGATGAAGAAAGGAAATCAAAATCCTCATTATTATTAAATACAGTATAAATGAGATGAGGTGATCTACCTTCTACACTAACAAGGTGGATTTGCATTTTTATTCTGAGCTCCACAGTGCTGCAGCATTGATTTCAACTACCTGGACCCGCAGTCAGCCTTTTAAAACAAACAGCTGCTGAACTTTGAGCCTCTGGTTTGGAACCACATGTTGGACAGGCATGACAGGAAAAACAGCTGCTCTGAACTTTCTGTTCGCTTCTGAGGATGGCTGAGAGAAACTCGTCAGCAGTGAGGGCAGCAGAGCTGGACTTCCTGCAGTTTAATGATCTCGCCTGTGAAAGTGTCGGAGGGAAGGTGAATAATACAGCAAGTAGATTGACTTGATGGAATATAAACATCATATTACAGCTGGATGCGTAACTGCAGATAGAAAAACTAGAGAGGCACG